GGGGGGGGACATAAAAGGTCAAACACATAGCAGGGCCCTTCCTGACATTTCTATTGCTAAAATACTCACAGAGTTCACATATCTCTTCATTATTCCAAAGAGATTGTTTAAAGAAAAAAACACATTAAAGCAGGATCAACAATCAGTAGGGGTGTGGCCCCGAGACCCTCCATTCATGGTCAAGTTCAAGGTCACAGTTTGAGGTTAAATTTGTAAATTAAAGAAACAATAGCAACATCAGGTAGTTTACTATACAGATGATTTCCAGACCAGGTCAAAAATTTAGGTCCAAGGTCAAAATGGATTTTTGAGTCAATTTCTTCCAAAAGTAAAGATGTTTTAATGAATCTGTAGGGACATAAAATTATAAAAGGGTGAAAAATAGTGCAATTTTACAATAGACAAAGGAATCCAAACTAACACTGATATTTACAGAGCTGCTAGTGTAAGTATCTATTGTGTGTTGCAGGCCAAGACTTTAAATACTTCTATGATGAGCAGTATTATCAGGATCAACCCCCGGCTAGTGCAGTACCTCCGACTGGAGGCTTTGGTACTGTCTACTTCAACACGCCCTTCGTTGAAGACGGCACTCTCAAGGACTTCATCAAGAAGCAAATGTAAGTAGGAAAGCAATGTTTTACTGTAAGTCATTGTCCTCCACTTCAGTCACAGGAACAAAAACATAAAATGTCAAGGACCCCATTCAAAGTTAAAACAAGCACCTTGACACAATGGAGGATGATCCATTGATACAAATGGGGTTTAATCAACTTGTACAGCAAGCCATGTTAGGATTTGTTGTAGAGTAAGGGTCAGTAAGTCTACACCTTACAGTTATAGTTTAATATTTATGATAACATATAAGCCATGGGATGTTTACCATGAATAACCAGTTAAAATTATGTTGTTGCAGAGAGTACTACTTCAGTGATGAAAACTTACAGAAGGATTTCTTTCTGCGGCGGCGGATGGGCAAGGAGGGCTGGCTGCCTATCAGCCTTATCGCAGGCTTTCATCGTGTCCAGAATTTGACCCGAGATATTCAGGTTATAATCAATGTAAGTGTTGCACACATAACTGACCACCACAGCTATTAGCTCGGAGACGTAGCCCAACAACTTATGCTGTGGTGCCTGGGCCCATATTCATGAAAGCGTTCCCATGCTCAAGCATGGAGCATGGATTTTGTGCTCAAGTCTATTTTCTTGTTCCGTTTTTAAAATAATAATAAATTCTAATATTGTCATTAATTCGAAAAAATATTGAAGAAACTTAAAGCCAAATACACTTTTCAATATTTACATTTCACTTTTTGATCGTTTGACATGATTTAAGTGAGTTCCAAGAAAGTTGGATTGAGCACAAAATCCATGCTTAAGCGTGAGAACGCTTTCATTAATACAGACCCAGAACTGACTAATGATGTCACCATACCCTAGCGTAAAAACAGTGCTCAAGTTTCTAGTTTTAATTTGTCAGTTTCATCAATAAATAACAACTGATGAGTTCATGCCAAAAAGGAGCTCAAGCTACGAGGGAAACAACATCTTATATTGTCGCAGCAGAAAATGCAGGGCCATTTATTGTATGGCCTGAAAACTGGCTTTATAGACAGAATTATATTCAGCAAGTTTGTAGCAGACTTTGTACAAAGTTCATCTCAATTAACAAAACGCAAAAAAAATTTGCAGAACAATGAATACACCAATGTGTACTGGTCTGTTTCAGTCTGTTGCTGACAGTACAAGCGTGGAGATTTCGGAGGATGGTACCAAGGTTCGGTGTCGTCAGAATCCAGAGAAATGGCCTCTAGAAGGTCAGCCCTTGGATCTAAGTTTGGCCTCAACACTGCATGCAGATGTACCAGAGTTTGTACCAGGCCAGGCCTACACCATACCCTCCAATCTACCCAGTATATTCAGTGGTAGGTTGTTTTTTACACATCAGCAGCTGATTAAGTAAACAAATGATTGGTCAGATGACTTGAGAGAAATTTAATATGGAGATCAGACCAAGTATTCAGGATAAAGTTTACAGTATTATTGAGTTTCACTTAATCGACCTGAAATTACTTGAGTAGGTATATATACGTACCCGATAATGTTGGTGTTTCTCCATTAACTATGAGTTTATTAACAGGTACCACTAAAGGGGAGGAGAATAAGGACCATTATAAGACGTATCGCACCCAGTCATCGGAGCAGGATGACGAGTTCAGTTTCATGTCTCTGGGTCTCAGTACCGGTCTGCTGTCGTCCAGCGCCCCACAACTCCAGGGTGACTGGAGGGAGGTCAAAAGGAAGGTCAGGGTGCCAAAGAAGTCAGAGGATAAGGTTGGTGGACATTGTAATGTTAGTCAGGATGAGATTATAAAATGAATTTTACCCTGTGATAAAATCTTGTTTGTTATTTGAATTTGTTATTTGAATAACCAAGTCATTCCAAGTCATTTTGTGCAAACACAAAAGTAATGTTTCAATTTCAACAAATTTTATTGACAATATAAGCAATAGTCAATAGGATCAGACATCAGGCATAGCCTCCTTTAAGTGACAACAGGTGGTAAGAAACACAGACATATATTTGTACATTGATATGATGTTTGGGATAAGGGGAACTAACTCCTTGATGCAAACAGACTTGTTCAGTATTCTTGAGATATAGTAATCCTTTCACTAGGGATATTTAATTTGAGATATTTACTAGACTATTATCTTCAGTGAATAATATCAAGTATTAGACAATGAGTTACTGGTATTCATATAAGGTAAACTGTTGAGTATAAATATTTGGTGATATTGGATTTATTCCCCAAACAGATACAGGCCATACAGTCCATATGTCCAAAAGTAATGTTTGTTTTGCTCTGAAATATGTCTGGTTATTGATACATCAGGGTGTGTTGTAGTCTACTGAATTGAATGAGCAGTATAAATAACTGTTTTACAGAAAGCTGATGCCAACGTGTCTGTTGACAACGAGGAGAAGGAGGAACTTGACTTCATGTTTGACGAGGAAATGGAGGAACTTAACATTGGACCTCGGCAGAATAATTTCACTGACTGGTCAGTACAGAGCGTTTATTAATTGGGTAGAAATTTACATTGACTGGGATTTGATATAAAGTTAGGGTAGACACTGTTGGTTATGACCTTCTATCTACCACACCTACCCGGGTAGACAATGTTGGTTATGACCTTCTATCTACCACACCTACCCGAGTAGACACTGTTGGTTATGACCTCCTATCTACCACACCTACCCGGGTAGACAATGTTGGTTATGACCTATCTACCACCCCTACCCGGGTAGACACTGTTGGTTATGACCTTCTATCGACCACACCTACCCGGGTAGACAATGTTGGTTATGACCTATCTACCACACCTGCCCGGGTAGACACTGTTGGTTATGACCTTCTATCTACCACGCCTACCCGGGTAGACAATGTTGGTTATGACCTTCTACCTACCACACCTACCCGGGTAGACAATGTTGGTTATGACCTTCTATCTACCACACCTACCCGGGAAGACACTGTTGGTTATGACCTTCTATCTACCACACCTACCCGAGTAGACACTGTTGGTTATGACCTTCTATCTACCACACCTACGTACCCTTGCTTTGATTGATTGATTGATTGAGATTTGTATGTTCTCCCAACAGCTAAGTTAAGATGATTTAGCGTGCCAACACCCCCTCCCCCCATACGTGCCATTTCACTTTGTAAGCAGTGATTGGACACATTTGATATTGGATTGTGTAAATAAAGGTGGCCATATATAATACCTGTGGATGTTGGAAAAACAACAGACGATCCATAATTTACCCTCACTACTATTCAACTTGTAATTTCCTGACCAAATAATTCAATTTTGTAAAATTTGGTACCAAATTAATGACATTACCTTGAATGGGACTCGGGTTTATCTGTCAATGGGTCTCAGGTTTATCCGTGAATGGGACTAAGGTTTATCCTTGAATGGGTCTCAGGTTTATCCGTGAATGGGACTCAGGTTTATCCGTGAATGGGACTAAGGTTTATCCTTGAATGGGACTCAGGTTTATCTGTCAATAGGACTCGGGTTTATCTGTCAATGGGACTCGGGTTTATCTGTGAATGGGACTCAGGTTTATCTGTGAATGGGACTCATGTTTATCTGTGAATGGGACACAGGTTTATCTGTGAATGGGCCTCAGGTTTATCTGTGAATGGGACTCAGGTTTATCTGTGAATGGGACTCAGGTTTATTTGTCAATGGGACTCAGGTTTATCTGTCAATGGGACTCAGGTTTATCTGTCAATGGGACTCTGGTTTATCTGTCAATGGGACTCGGGTTTATCTGTCAATGGGACTCGGGTTTATCTGTCAATGATCATGCTTTCAAACATTCTATTCTCTGGGACCTAGAAAATATCTTAATCAAATCAACGACATTATGTCCACTTATTGAAAAATAGGTTTCCAACCTTAATAATTCCATCTTTTGCTTTTGTCTGGCAAAGGCTCAGCTTTTCATTGACACGTCTCAAACACAGCTCATTTTCAAATTACATGTCTCGCCTAGTCATTTGGACTGACCATAGCCATGTGTTGGGTGGATCAGCTTACCACCCACTCTTTTCTAAATACCTGCCACCCCTTCTTTAGCTTTGGAACAGCCCTATAATTGAGATGGGTATTAATGCTACTTTCTTTCATCATCACAATTCTAATAATATCACTTAGGAAATGTCTGCTAGACTTAACCAATGTTGGCAAGATTACTCCTAAGAAAAGATGAAGGGTCTGTATACAACAGTCGTGTATGGACTAACATACTTACGTTAATGAACAAGGAAGCACCATCTTTAGGAGCTTTTAATTTTGCGTTCATTATCTTTACTTACTTGGTGTTTGAATGATGTATTTAGGGTTTAACTTTGTGATACATTGAGCAAATGCTTAGAATTTAATATGCCGTAATTTACTTATTTTGTGAATTTCAATGATGTACATTACCTTTTAACCTATGTGAAAGTTTATGATATGAAGGCAAGCACAAAGTTCAGTCATTTTAATCCATACACGGTGGATTTTTGTTGTGCAAATATTCTACAATTCTCTTAATTACAAACATGTTCAGGTCCGATGACGAATCTGATTACGAGATCTCGGACAGTGAAGTGAACAAGATCTTGATAGTGACCCAGACACCACCCTCCCTACGGCGCCATCCCCAAGGCGACAGGACAGGTGATTACACGCCTCGCTCCAAGATCACATGTGAGATGACCAAGGTTATCAACGATGGCCTCTTCTACTACGAAAAGGACCTTATTGATATAGAGGTACATCAAATGTCACTGTTTTATCACATAATTGTCAACTGTGATGTGATGTTATATCAAATGTCACTGTTTTATCATGTAACTCCTTTGTGATATAGTGAATATGCCATATGTAATTGTACCTGTGCAGGCTAGTGTGGTACTGATAGATTGAGATGTAAACGAGTCTGTAAATGACATTGACATGAAATTTGTAATTGATATAACATCAGAATGCTTCATCATCATGTGACTAGTTTGCTTTTGTCTTCATAATACTTGCTTGAAATATAAGTAATTCTGCAATTTACTTCCATTGCAATTTCATACAAGTGTCGTGAAAGTTGTGCCGATGTTTTAATTTGGTAAATTATTTCTAGACTTGTTTCATCCAATAGACTCCTATAAAACTTCCACACACATCTCTTAAATAACAAGCTCAAATTGTTATATCCTACGAGGCTTTGACCTCAGTCTTCAGGAATTTCGTGGCCCCTAAGAGGTAAAGATGCCTCATGCTATGGTCTTGTGTGATCATTTGTTGTCATTATTTATCTCACAGGATGATTTCAAAAGCTTCAAGACGGTGAACATGATTACTCGAGAGGAGTTTGACAGTATGACGCCCTCCCATGTGACAACATCGCAGAAAACACCTCCACCTCCGCCTCCCCCAATCTCCCTTCAGTCAGGTATGTGTTGATATAAAATCCCCCAGTCTCGCTTCAGTCAGGTATGTGTTGATTTAACTTCCCTCAGTCTCTCTTCACTCAGGTATGTGTTGATTTAACTTTTCCCAGTCTCTCTTCACTCAGGTATGTGTTGATTTAACTTCCCTCAGTCTCTCTTCAGTCAGATATGTGTTGATGTAACTTCCCTCAGTCTCTCTTCAGTCAGGTATGTGTTGATTTAACTTTCCCCAGTCTCTCTTCAGTCAGGTATGTGTTGATTTAACTTCCCCCAGTCTCTCCTCAGTCAGGTATGTGTTGATTTAACTTCCCTCAGTCTCTCCTCAGTCAGGTATGTGTTGATGTAACTTCCCTCAGTCTCTCTTCAGTCAGGTATGTGTTGATTTAACTTCCCTCAGTCTCTCTTCAGTCAGGTATGTGTTGATTTAACTTCCCCCAGTCTCTCCTCAGTCAGGTATGTGTTGATTTAACTTCCCTCAGTCTCTCCTCAGTCAGGTATGTGTTGATGTAACTTCCCTCAGTCTCTCTTCAGTCAGATATGTGTTGATGTAACTTCCCTCAGTCTCTCTTCAGTCAGGTATGTGTTGATTTAACTTTCCCCAGTCTCTCCTCAGTCAGGTATGTGTTGATTTAACTTCCCCCAGTCTCTCTTCAGTCAGGTATGTGTTGATTTAACTTCCCCCAGTCTCTCTTCAGTCAGGTATGTGTTGATTTAACTTCCCCCAGTCTCTCCTCAGTCAGGTATGTGTTGATTTAACTTCCCTCAGTCTCTCCTCAGTCAGGTATGTGTTGATTTAACTTCCCTCAGTCTCTCTTCAGTCAGGTATGTGTTGATTTAACTTCCCTCAGTCTCTCTTCAGTCAGGTATGTGTTGATTTAACTTCCCCCAGTCTCTCCTCAGTCAGGTATGTGTTGATTTAACTTCCCCCAGTCTCTCCTCAGTCAGGTATGTGTTGATTTAACTTCCCCCAGTCTCTCTTTAGTCAGGTTTGTGTTGATTTAACTTCCCCAGTCTCTCTTCAGTCAGATATGTGTTGATTTAACTTCCCCAGTCTCTCTTTAGTCAGGTATGTGTTGATTTAACTTCCCTCAGTCTCTCTTCAGTCAGGTATGTGTTGATTTAACTTCCCCCAGTCTCTCTTCAGTCAGGTATGTGTTGATTTAACTTCCCCCAGTCTCTCTTCAGTCAGGTATGTGTTGATTTAACTTCCCCCAGTCTCTCTTCAGTCAGGTATGTGTTGATTTAACTTCCCCCAGTCTCTCTTCAGTCAGGTATGTGTTGATTTAACTTCCCCCAGTCTCTCTTCAGTCAGGTATGTGTTGATTTAACTTCCCCCAGTCTCTCTTCAGTCAGGTATGTGTTGATTTAACTTCCCCCAGTCTCTCTTCAGTCAGGTATGTGTTGATTTAACTTCCCCCAGTCTCTCCTCAGTCAGGTATGTGTTGATTTAACTTCCCCCAGTCTCTCCTCAGTCAGGTATGTGTTGATGTAACTTCCCTCAGTCTCTCTTCAGTCAGGTATGTGTTGATGTAACTTCCCTCAGTCTCTCTTCAGTCAGGTATGTGTTGATTTAACTTTCCCCAGTCTCTCCTCAGTCAGGTATGTGTTGATTTAACTTCCCCCAGTCTCTCTTCAGTCAGGTATGTGTTGATTTAACTTCCCCCAGTCTCTCTTCAGTCAGGTATGTGTTGATTTAACTTCCCTCAGTCTCTCCTCAGTCAGGCATGTGTTGATTTAACTTCCCTCAGTCTCTCCTCAGTCAGGTATGTGTTGATTTAACTTTCCTCAGTCTCTCTTCACTCAGGTATGTGTTGATTTAACTTCCCTCAGTCTCTCCTCAGTCAGATATGTGTTGATTTAACTTCCCTCAGTCTCTCCTCAGCCAGGTATGTGTTGATTTAACTTCCCCCAGTCTCTCCTCAGTCAGGTATGTGTTGATTTAACTTCCCCCAGTCTCTCTTTAGTCAGGTTTGTGTTGATTTAACTTCCCCAGTCTCTCTTCAGTCAGATATGTGTTGATTTAACTTCCCCAGTCTCTCTTTAGTCAGGTATGTGTTGATTTAACTTCCCTCAGTCTCTCTTCAGTCAGATATGTGTTGATTTAACTTCCCCAGTCTCTCTTTAGTCAGGTATGTGTTGATTTAACTTCCCCAGTCTCTCATCAGTCAGATATGTGTTGATTTAACTTCCCTCAGTCTCTCTTCAGTCAGGTATGTGTTGATTTAACTTCCCCAGTCTCTCTTTAGTCGGGTATGTGTTTATTTAACTTCCCTCAGTCTCTCTTCAGTCAGGTATGTGTTGATTTAACTTCCCCCACTCTCTCTTTTAGTCAGGTATGTGTTGATTTAACTTTCCTCAGTCTCTCTTCAGTCAGGTATGTGTTGGTCTATACCTCCATCAGAATTATTATCCTCTTGTGACGATGTCTTGTAGGGGATGTAACATTCCTATGTAACTATGTTTACCTTTTTGTGACAGCCATAGTGACTTTATATCTGGACGGGTTTGATCAAACTTATATATTGTTGTGCGAGTTTTATGGTTCAGTTTGTAAAAACATGTATTACAATAATCATTTTGTCATTGCGCCATGCATCTGTCTGCATTCATGTGTCTAGAAAAAAACTTGTGTAAAAGATACATACATGCTAGGTTTCCTAGAGACCTTTGAGATTTACAATCATTTAATGGAATTTGAGTCAAATTTCACAGCATATAAACAAACCCTTTAAAAGACTGAGTTTGTTATATACACCATAGTGTGGTCACATAAAGTTAAACACTTGATTAGATTTTGGTGGTCAAGGTTAAAGGGTCAAAGGCCACACTTGACCACTCTGTGGGTGTTGGCGGTAATTCATGGACGTGACTTTAGCTAATTATTTGTTTATAAATATGTATATAACAAAAACGTGTTACAGAATCTAAAAAAGTGCCACCAGTCTCACAACCTAGTCATCCTGACATTGCCCGCTCATTGCCAGCATATGTCCCTAACACACCTGGCACAGGTAGTCGTACGCCGCGCAGTCGTAAGGAGGACACTGCACCACGCTTCTATCCAGTGATGAAGGATTCCACACGACCTCCAGATCCACAGGTACATAGAGAGGACGATACACTTAGAGCAGTAGGACATATGGGGTACCAGTTCCAAAAAAATAAATGGAAAAAAACAAATAAAAATGTGATATTTTGAACTGGAAATTATAAAATAGCAATATAAGAAATGATGATTCTAGTTATAAATTTTGTGATTTTGTTGATATTGTATGATAACATGGAGTCTTTAAATGTTTGATAGACACCACGTAAGTGGAAGACAAAACACAGCAGTAACCCGCCTGTGGAGAGTCATGTTGGCTGGGTGATGGACGCCACGGAGCACAGACCCTCACGATCACACAACAATTCTATGTCTCAGAGGTACGTTCTTAACAAGCCGAAAGCCTCACGATCACACAACAATTCTATGTCTCAGAGGTACGTTCTTAACAAGCCGAGAGCCTCACAGTCACACAACAATTCTATGTCTCTGAGGTACGTTCTTAACAAGCCGAGAGCCTCGCAGTCACACAACAATTCTATTTCTCAGAGGTACGTTCTTAACAAGCCGAGAGCCTCACGATCACACAACAATTCTATGTCTCAGAGGTACGTTCTTAACAAGCCGAGAGCCTCACAGTCACACAATGCATGGTCTTTGTTGCACCACAATCAAAGAGACAGTTCTCTGTTCATTAGTAAACAGTCCACCAGGGTTTTCTATATATAAATAAATTCTCCAACGATCAGACAGTGTACTACTGTCTATAAGTTAGAGATCGTTTTCATTTACAAACTGAAATATGTTTTGTTATTGTACAAACAGTGCAACAAACTGAACTGCCTTACAAGATAGAGATTATGATGTTTTGTCAGCTGAAATGTTGATTTTGTTGTCGTTCAAACAGTCCAACAGACAGTGCCCTGTCAACAAGTTATGGCAGCTACAGTTCAACTCCTCATGCATTCCCCAACTTCCAGCATCCATCACATGAACTGCTGAAAGATAACAACTTTGTCTGGCATGTCTACCATAAGTACCACTCAAAGTGTCTCAAGGGTAAGTGTCTCTCATATACCTTACAGTGTCTCAAGTGTAGATATCGCCCATATACATTCCAGTATCTCAAGGGCAGGTATGGCCCATATACATTTCAGTGTCTCGAGGCTAGGTGTCGCCCTTATACATACTAGTGTCTCAAGGGTAGGTGTCTCCTTTATACATACTAGTGTCTCAAGGGTAGGTGTCACTTTTATACATAATAGTGTCTCAAGGGTAGGTGTCTCCCTTATACATACTAGTGTCTCAAGGTTAGGTGTCTCCCTTATACATACTAGTGTCTCAAGGGTAGGTGTTGCCCTTATACATTCTAGTGTCTCAAGGGTAGGTGTCGCCCGCCCATATACATACTAGTGTCTCAAGGGTAGGTGTCTCCCTTATACATACTAGTGTCTCAAGGGTAGGTGTCTCCCTTATACATACTAGTGTCTCAAGGGTAGGTGTCTCCCTTATACATTCTAGTATATCGAGGGTAGGTGTCTCCCTTATACATACTAGTGTCTCAAGGGTAGGTGGCGCCCGCCCATATACATACTAGTGACTCAAGGGTAGGTGTCTCCCTTATACCTACTAGTGTCTCAAGGGTAGGTGTCCCCCGCCCATATACATACTAGTGTCTCCAGGGAAGGTGTATCCCTTATACATACTAGTGTCTTGAGGGAAGGTGTCTCCCTTATACATACTAGTGTCTCAAGGGCAGGTGTCTCCCTTATACATACTAGTGTCTCAAGGGTAGGTGTCTCCCTTATACATACTAGTGTCTTGAGGGTAGGTGTCTCCCTTATACATACTAGTGTCTCGAGGGTCCCTGTCTTTCTGTAGGTAGATTTGAATAAAATTCAATGTTTGATTTCTGATATACTGTAAGTGTACATGTTTTAGTGGTTATGCTGTTTACTAAATACCTGTATCCTAAATATTAAACAAAGTTATAATTGGGCTAATTGAAGTTTCTGTATATTTTTTTCTGTTGTATATATTGTGAGTGGGCCAATTCAGCAATGTGCTTACATGTTAAAATTTGATTTGAGTATGTCTACAGTAATATAAAATGCATTTTTATTGGTTATTACAATTTTCAGTTTTAAAGCACTTGTCAAATATTCACTGGATTATTCATATTTTGCATTTCAGAGCGCAAGAAAGCTGGTGTTGGCCTTTCACAAGAGATGAACACTTTGTTTCGTTTCTGGTCTTTCTTCTTGCGACAGCATTTCAACAAGAAGATGTACCTGGAATTTAAAGCTCTGGCTGTAGAGGAAGCCAAGTCTGACTACAGGTAAAAACCTTAGTTTGCTGTTTTGGACACCAGTAAGTTACCATGATGGTGATGTGGGACACCAGTAAGTTACCATGGTGATCTGGTTTTCACCTGCAGACAAACTGTGGTTACTTTGGTGAGAGATTTCGGTTATACATGCTAGGTGTGTGTCCTGAGATAGGTGATGTTTTGTGTGAAATTTCTCAAGTTCAATAAAGTCATTTAACTGATTTTACTATTTTGAAATCACCAAACAAATTAGACATTCTTTTGAACATGTCAGCTTAGTAAAGGTAAGCATTTGACATAACACTTACAGTTTTGTCAGTTCATTCGAATCAAGTTTTGAGAAGAAGTCACAGAAACAAAACAAAACTCAGTTTAAACTTTGAATATAAATTTATGAGTTTAAACTTTGAATATAAGTTTATGAGTTTAAACTTTGAATATAAATTTATGAGTAAGTTCACTGTGTGTTACAGGTACGGTTTGGAGTGTTTGTTCCGGTTCTTCAGCTATGGCCTAGAGAAGCGGTTCAAACCTGACCTTTTCCAGGACTTCCAAGAGGAAACGATCAGGGATTATGAAAGTGGTGAGCTGTACTATTAGACATATTTCAGTGTTGGTACGAATATTAAATCCAAAGTCTGTTGTTGCAATAATATAATTATCTTTTTTTTAATCCATTCCTCAGGAAAAAAATGTGCATTGTCAATTACATCAAGATTAGAACTAGCAGCAACGTCGTTTTTACTGGTTTTCTGATATGTTTACTTTGAAGTCATCGTGTACTCTTAAAATGTTCCTGAAAACAAAACTATTCAGTCAAAATGCTAATAAATATATCTTCTGTTAAACTGTCGAAGGAAAATGCTCAAATTTAACTTTAAAGTATTATTCAAACCATTTTCTGGCTGTGTACCAATTTGGGTAGTGTACCAATTGTGGTAGCGTGACGTTAAAGGGAAAAGTAGATCAGGGAGAAAAGAGAGGTCAGAAGCTTTACAATAGGAGCTAACAATACATAGGTTACATTGGGCAGAGTCTGGTGATTCATAGAAAGACAGTTGCTGTTGCTTTTTATGGACGTGTAGCAAGCTGAAAGAGGTAGGACAACTGGGGGATATGACCTGACATAACCTACAAATACAGATCAGCACAAGTCATTGAAGGGAGTCTATTTTCTTTTGTCATTGTGCAAAGAATGGAATAAGAAATCTGTAGTATTCGTTTGGATGAGTTAAACCTGACAGTTTATTTGAAAATGTATTGAAACAATTAAAATGTATGTGTCAAAATCTTTCTTATTAAATGTAGGTCAGCTGTATGGACTTGAGAAGTTCTGGGCCTATCTGAAGTACACCCGTAAACACATGGATGTGGACCCCAAGTTACGAGGTTGGCTGTCCAAGTATAAACGCCTGGAGGATTTCAAAGTAGACGTAAGTTGTATCATCGGACTCCACTTCAGACAGGTGATATATATTGTATCATCTGACTCTACTTCAGACAGGTGATATATTGTATCATCTGACACTACTTCAGACAGGTGATATCAGATATATCATTGTACACTACTTCAGACAGGTGATATCAGATATATCATTGTACACTACTTCAGACAGGTGATATCAGATGTATCATTGTACACTACTTCAGACAGGTGATATCAGATGTATCATTGTACACTACTTCAGACAGGTGATATCATGGTACACTACTCCAGACAGGTGATATCATTGTACACTACTTCAGACAGGTAATATCATTGTACACTACTCCAGACAGGTAATATCATTCTACACTACTTCAGACAGGTGATATCATTGTACACTACTCCAGAAAGGTGATATCATTGTACACTTCTCCAGACAGGTGATATCAGATTATCATTGAACACTACTTCAGACAGGTGATATCATGGTACACTACTCCAGACAGGTGATATCATTGTACACTACTTCAGACAGGTGATATTAGATGTATCATTGTACACTAGTTTAGACGGGTGATATCATTGTACACTACTTCAGACAGCTGATATCAGATGTATCATTGTACACTACTTCAGACAGGTGATATCATTGTACACTACTTCAGACAGGTAATATCATTGTACACTACTCCAGACAGGTGATATCATTGTACACTACAGGTTTTATAAAGTTGCATCATATATCACTCTTTCACACTGGCGATATAAGTAGTATCATCTGATACTAGTTCAGAAAGGTGATATAAGTGGTATCATCTGATAAGAGTTCAGACAGGTGATGTAAGTAGTATCATTTGATACTAGTTCAGACAGGTGATATAAGTGGTATCATCTGATAAGAGTTCAGACAGGTGATATAAGTGGTATCATTTGATACTAGTTCAGACAGGTGATATAAGTAGTATCATTTGATACTAGTTCAGACAGGTGATATAAGTGGTATCATCTGATACGAGTTCAGACAGGTGATATAAGTGTTATCATCTGATACTAGTTCAGACAGGTGATATAAGTGTTATCATCTGATACTAGTTCAGACAGGTGATATAAGTGGTATCAACTGATACTAGTTCAGACAGGAGATATAATTGGTATCAACTGATACTAGTTCAAACAGGTAATATAAGTGGTATCATCTGATACTAGTTCAGACAGGGGATATAAGTGGTATCAACTGATACTAGTTCAGACAGGTGATATAATTGGTATCAACTGATACTAGTTCAAACAGGTAATATAAGTGGTATCATCTGATACTAGTTCAGACAGGCGATGTAAGTGGTATCATCTGATACTAGTTCAGACAGGCGATGTAAGTGGTATCATCTGATACTAGTTCAGACAGGTGATATAATTGTTATCATCTGATACTAGTTCAGACAGGTGATATAAGTGGTATCATCTGATACTAGTTCAGACAAGTGATGTAAGTGGTATCATCTGATACTAGTTCAGACAGGTGATATAAGTGGTATCATCTGATACGAGTTCAGACAGGAGATATAAGTGTTATCATCTGATACTAGTTCAGACAGGTGATATAAGTGGTATCAACTGATACTAGTTCAGACAGGTGATATAATTGGTATCAACTGATACTAGTTCAAACAGGTAATATAAGCGGTATCATCTGATACTAGTTCAGACAAGTGATGTAAGTGGTATAATCTGATACTAGTTCAGACAGGTGATGTAAGTGGTATCATCTGATACTAGTTCAGACAGGTGATATAAGTGGTATCATCTGATACTAGTTCAGACAAGTGATGTAAGTGGTATCATCTGATACTAGTTCAGACAGGTGATGTAAGTGGTATCATCTGATACTAGTTCAGACTGGTGATATAAGAGGTATCATCTGATAAGAGTTCAGACAGTTTAGGAGGCACGATAGTCCAGTGGTAGGACGCGGGGCTCGTGACCGAAGGGTTGCGGGTTCGTGCCACAGCACAGCAATGTGTTGTATCTTTGAGCAAGATACTTTACTCCGTTTGTTCCAGTCTACTCAGCTGTAAATGAGTATGTGGTTGGGCAGTGCTAGAATTGTTGAATGCTTGCTGATAGCGCCGAAATGGCAGCTCCGCCTGTATGCTCCCCAGGGAGTTGAGAAATGTATTGGCTGGTTGCAAAGCCCCTATAACCACGGATAATAATGTGTGAACCGCTTTGAGACGACCTACAAACCAGGTTGTGATAAAGCGGTATATAAGAAACTCCAATTATTGTTATTTATTATTATAATAAGTGGTATCACCTGACACTTTGTCAGACAGGTTTGTGTCACAGCACAACAGTTAAGCTTAACTGTTAAAGATGAAAGGTGTTCATCTTGTTTGGTGTTTTTTTTTAAATGATTGAAATTCATTATTTAACTTGCATGAATAGGATTCCAAAATGATAGTCCATAGACAAGAGACAGAGATATTTGTAAAGTTTCAGCATTTTTTAGGAAATATCATTAAAAAACTGTTTATAAACTCTTTTAAGCTAAAGTTTGTTGGTTGACCTGTGTCTTTAAAGCTATGTTGAAGTTGTTATAACATTCAGTATTTGTACTAGCTTGCTGATATATGTGGCATTCAAGTTCTTAGAGAAACCGATATTATTGGAATGCAATTCAAATTAAAAATAAAACGGTTTGTTTGAATTTGGCATTTGATGCTGATAATTAACCAAATCAATCAATGTTTTGCTTTTGAATATTAATACTTAAAGATTTTCATTAAACCATAGGATAAGTTTCCACAAGATATGTATACATTTAACTGTAAAGCTTCACCAGATAATTCTTTGCTATCTATTGTAATAGAAATCTTAACAAGATGAATTATCAGCATTTTATATTTAACTTTCGAATTATTGTTCTACATGCACTTGCAAGTGCAATAATTTTATAAATTGCATTGAACACTACATGTTGTATATTACCTAGGTAATATTATTTACAATTAATTTTATGTAGTTAATTTTACTGTTGTTGTTTTCCAGAATTTGGAAGAACAGAGAGGAGCCCGTGGCCGACAGAGACACATGTCCGGTCCCCCTCGGGAGAGGCATCTATCTGGCTCCAAGGGGCCCAAGAGCCAGTCTCATGGCGGCAAGCATGGCCTAACACGACAGACTTCTCGCGAATCCAGCCATTCACATAGTGCGAAAACAGACTCGAATAGTCAATCACAGACATCAAAGCATAGTTCGTCAGATAACAGCCAATCACAAGTGACACAAAAAGTTGAAAGCAGTGCAAAGGAGGCTGTGTCTAGTGGAAAAGCATGAAACCTACAAAATATGGACAAATGCCACTTTCAAAAATGATTTTATGGAATAAAAATGCCAAACAAAACCTGGCATTAAAAAATTTGGAATCTTTTGAAACCAAAATCTTTGAAGAAGATGACTTAAATCTGACATTTTCTGTGTAGAAGAAATTTTAATGATGGAAACATCAAAAAGATGGTTTCCTTGATGACAGCTTTTAAGGAGATGTTAATATGTATAGGTGAAGTACATTGTGGAAGCACTTGTAGGTTGCCCGCGAGACATACGGGTACAGGGAAACTATTCTGACAGTTAAATACCGACACATGCAGAAAAAATGTTCAGTTACATTCAAAGAGATGAAAAATGTGTACATCAATCGGCTCTATACTATAATGGATATCTGGATATTTGATCCAATGGCACACTTTGGATTCAATCGGCAGTGATGCCCCTCACTTGTACAAAAGTCGGCTCGCGGTAAACAACTGTCTTGGTGTGGTAATAGTTTCCTTCCATAAACAAATTTGCAGAAGTTGATCGCAATAAAGCAAATGTAGCTGGAATAAAACGGGAAAAAAACTGATGCTGTTTAACATGCTATAATGTGAAGTCGTGCACAATATTTCACTGTAGTGGAGACTGCATATATCATCCTGCTGCCCCTTGTTGAACCTTGCCTGGCTTTTCTTGCTAACCTTTCTATAAAGAGAGATACACGGGAAATGATAGAGGTTCGCGCAGAGCTGAACCTCACCCAGCTTCGTTTTCCCTCTTCTTCGAGAGATACGTCTGGAATAATGGTGGTTAGTGCAGAGCCTTTTATCCGGTGTTTTAGGCAATTTTTGGTGTTTTAGGCACAGATATACAATGAGTTTTTCTGATCACATGTGGTGGAATGGTTTCAAAACCCAATTAACAGTCTGTGATTATCTTATCTCATCAATTGGGTATTTGGCGTGAACATATATCCATTGTGTTTTGTATAAAGTCTTATATAAATTGAATATATATATATATATACACATTAATCATAGTAGTGAAATCATTAACATGTGTAAAAGGATCATTCTGGTTTTATCTGCCTCAAAACATGTTAGTGCTGTAGATCTTTTAGCACTGTCTGCATAAGTTTTTAGTCTACTCTAATTGTAAAACAGTTAATCAAAGAAACGTTTTATGTTTTAGGTAAATGTTTCAGACATATTTCAACTAAATATATGAACTTACCAGTTTGTTTACTTAAATAAGTATTCTTTTGTATGATTCTGAAACGATTTAAAAGTTTTATTAGTTGAAAAGATATATGCAATACTTGTTCAGAGTTTTTTTGGTTAATGGAATGATAGTGGATTACACAGGGATGTTGGTGACAATTACAGGAGTTAATCCTGTTATTGTTTATAAGAGCTGTTTTATTATTTTTACAGATCATGCAGTTTGTATTTTTCACACAAAACTATTTTAGTCTTTTTTGTTAACGAGATAATTTGTTAGTTGATATGTTCACAATAATCTGTCTGTCACTTCTAACTGAAAGTTTCTGGTAAATACTACTATAGGGCAATTAAGTGCTGTTATAAATACAATTGTATTTCTACAACTGATCCAGGTTTTCATTCATCTTATATACATTTATTTATTTATTCAATTGAATGTTAGAATCAATTGACTGACATTTTCTGTCAAACTTTCCAATGTCTTTTAAGCCCAATTTTGAAAATCTGTTCTATATGTTGAAATGAAGATTAACAGCAACAGCCTGTGTGCCAAGGGGCGGTAGACTACAATGTAACAGCCTGTGTGCCAAGGGGCGGTAGACTACAATGTAACAGCCTGTGTGCAAAGGGGCAGTAGACTACAATGTAACAGCCTGTGTGCCAAGGGGCAGTAGACTGCAATGTCTCAAATAGTGCTGCTGATTGGTGGATTGCTGTAGTTTTGTATCCTAAATTGATTTGATTGTACATTCAGTGTACATGGTGTATCCACATTGATTTCGATTGATCTGTCAAGCCAAACACTTTTTTTTTAATGAATGAATTGATTTGTTGAGCCATGCTACCTGATGATTTAAGAATTTTGATTGGTAAAGATAGATAACTTATTAATCCGGGCTGAATGATTCATCAAGCCACATTTGTAATGTATTACGTGAAACATTACGGTGGACATGCAAAGTAGACAGATGGTGTTGTTGACGAGGACATGATTACACTTATAACATTCATAGGCAGTATCTATGTGATACAGTTGCAATTCAGAATTGAACATTATTTCCCTTAAACCAGGCTTGTAAATTAAAAAAATCTTTTAAAGTGTAATCAGATTATCTGTTTTGATACATATCTGTCATCAGTTTATACCGTTGGCCCTGAACTATGGCAAGAAGTCAGTTGGCTCTAACCTAAGGTAACAAGATAGCTGGCTCTAAGCCATGGTAAACTGTATAGTAGTTTACATAAGTAGCACTGTTATTTTGAACTATGCTTAACTTACGTTTGTTTCTGTTACACCATATTTGTTGATATACCTTAAGTTGTGTTCATATCAAACCATGTGTAGGTTGTTATGTACATTGTAGTGAGTAGATTCAGGGGAGTCATGTGACTGACCTGTAGAAAGTCACATGGTAGTCATGTGATCGACTCTGAAGAATTATAGTGGCAAGGTTATATTAGCCTTTACAGATATACTGTGGTTGGTCATGGTCTTTCACTTTTATACCTCTACAGAGATAAAATCAGTGAAAAAGAAGGCAATTTTTTGTGTATTTTTCATTTTTGTCACCAAAAGGTAAAAGAGAAGAAAAAATCCCTTTAAAAACCAATAATGATTGCTGTAGTACTGTCTGTTATTTTGGACACTTTTACACCTGTTAAATCCTTTTATGCACAAGTTTTTCACTTGATACTTTGTTAGATTTTGCACCCTTTTTACTTACCGATAAGCATGTCCGTCTGACCTTTGAACTTAATTAGTAAACATGTCCATCTGACCTTTGAAACTTAATTAGTAGTCATGTCCATCTGACCTTTGGAACTTAATTAGTAGTCATGTCCATCTGACCTTTGAACCATAATTTGTACCATGTCTGTCTGACCTTTGAACCTTAAATAATAATCATGGCTGCCTGACCTTTGTACATCAATATTAATCATGTCTGAGCTGCCTGACCTTTGAACCTGGATTAGAAACCATGTCTGCATGACCTTTGAACCTTGTCTAGTAATATCAAGTCATGCTATTTCTCTTTTCTCCCAAACTGTCCCCTCCCCTAACTGAAACAGTTGAAAGTAATCAATTGTTTTGTCATCAATTTGATCTCTTACTTTATTTTTATATGTGCTGAAATATTAACTTGTAAAAAAATTTGTCTTCGTAATATTTGACAGTTTTCAACATATGCTGTAAAAGCAATCTTAACTCCTTCACGACACTGATGTTGTTTCATTTTCTTTATAACTGAAACAAATGCTAATGTTTTGAGTGGAACATTTTAGAGTATTACTACTTTTTAATGTGCTTGATTCTGATGTGAAGAAAAAATTCAAAAACATTTAAAAAAATATTTAAAATAATTTAAAAAAAGGTAAAGACTATTTAAGTACATGTTTGTATATTATATATTGATTATGTTAATTAGGAGTGTGTGATCTATAATAAGCTATAACTAATGTACTGTATTATGGAACATCATAATCATGTTATCACTTTTAAATATTCAGGAAAAATAATAGATGTGAATGGATTTGAGGATCAATTAAAGCATAAATGCCTGTATATAGTTTGATAAGTGACATCTGTAATTTATACTTCATCGTTTAACAGCACTGTCTATCATAGTTATGTCTGTATTACAGTACTTCACCAAGAGAGAATCTGTCAACATCAGTCTGGGCCATCAGTAATGTTATGGGTCTGCTAGGGTCTAAATTGTTAATCAAGGGGCTCGCGTCTCAACTAACATCCCTATCAGTAATTGAGGGGCTGACGTAAATCATGGTCCCAGTTTTTAATCCAGGGTTTGTATGTCAACTAGAGGCCCAATCAGACCTCAAGCGGAACAGATAACTTAAGGTCCTAGTTCTTTATCCAAGGCTCATATGCCAACTAGAGGCCCAATCAGACCTCAAGGGGAACAGATGACTTAAGGTTCTAGTTCTTTATCCAAGGCTCATATGCCAACTAGAGGCCTAATCAGAAGTCAAGGGGCTCGCATGGAATAGGGTCCCAGCTCATAATTGAGAGCTTGCATGTCAACTAGGGGCCTAGTCAGTGGATTATTTGTTCCAAGGGTCGAGGGTTCCACCAGTAAATTAAGAGTCTTCGGTAACCAAAGGCTCCTTCCAGGAGTCCAGGAGAACCTGTACACTTCTGGTTTATCTAGGGACTCCACGTGTATGACCTTCCTTGTTTCTCTGATCTCTGATATGATACTTGAAAGCAGTCAATATACAAACCAGCGAGACGATGAAGTGTGGTACAGACTGGTTAGATAGAGGTGTTGTCTTTCAGACAAGATCACTGACATATATATATATATATATGTGTGCTTCTCATATGACATGACCTTGGGGGTCGGGACTCAAATTAGACTGCCCTTTGCCTCACATTCACCTTCTGGGGGGAGGCCATCATAAACGATTCTCATGGTGCTTCGACCGACATCGGTCATCGTTAGTGGACATAGATTTTACATCTTTATCAAAATCACTTCTTTTTGTCTTTAGTCATGTTAACAAGGATTTGATGGGTTGTACGAAAACAGAAAAAAAAAATGAAATTTTGCTTTGTTATTACTTTAATTTCCTAGATAGTAGATACTATAATTAAACAATTGTACATAAACAAAGGAGTGTTTGTTATTTTTTAGATGTAGGCGGGCTATTCAATCACCCTTGTCCATAGTCCGTCTGTGGTTGTCTTAATTCTTGTGATCAGTATTTCTCAGGAAGGACCAAAGGGAACTTTCTCAAATTTTATATGCAGGTACCTTGGTTCCTAGTTGTGAATGTTTAATTTTGAGACTGATCAGATAAACAAAATGGCCAACATGTGAGCATTTTTGATTATGACATTTAAGGTTTGTTATCGCTATTTCTCTGGAAGTACTGGAGGGATCTTTCCCAAATTTGACGCGAGACATCTTTGATTTTGACAGTTACAGATTGTTAGTGCTATTTCCCAGGAAGTACTGGAGGGAACTTACTCAGATTTGTTATGTAGGTTCCCCCAGGTCCTTTATTGTTCATGTTTACTTGCGAGACTGATCAGATAAACAAAATGGTCGACAGGTGGCCATCTTTTATTTTTTACATTGTAGGTTTGTTAGTGCTATTTCTCAGGAATAACTTGAGGGGTCTTTATTAAAATTGATATGTAGGTCCCCCTTGATCCCTAATTGTCCATGTTTTATTTTGACTGTATTAGTAAATATGTGAAATGACAAACTCAAAAGTTACCTCAAGATGCATTTATTGTTAACATCGATCAAACAGATAAGATACAACATAAAACATCAAACTGACAAAGAGCTAATGAAGATGGTACAAAGGTGGGCGCCAAGTTCCCTCTGGAATCTCTTGTTTTAAATGTGGGTTGGATCCTGTGAAGTTCACTGCTAGTAGTTTGTAGAGAATCATCCACGAGATGTACATGTATTAATGAATGAACAGTTCATTGTCTTCTCCAAATTTATTCCACTGATACCCAAATATATGTTGATTGAACATATAACATTTTCTTGAAGAATTGAATTGGTTTTAGTCCATCTTCATTTATAAAATGCTGCCAGAGACACTGAAACAGGAGAAGTGGTACCATCCACAGAGATAACAAATGAAGATTACAGTACCCCAGAAATATATCTGAAAGTCAGAACATCAAAATATGAGAGGGATACATTAAATATAGTCTGCTAGCCAGGACATCAAAAGTGGTGTACATCCCAATTTAATCTGCTTGCCAGGATATTTAAATAGGAGAATACAGTCTCAATTATAAACTCTGGACAGAAATATCCAAGCTAGGGATGGGTACATCCCAATATATAAATTGCCAGTCTTTACATTGATACCAAGAGAAGTGTACACTAGGAAATAAATACTACCAGCCAGATAGAGAGGGTTACGTCTTAAATAACTAAGCCAGGCCATCCATACATCTAGAAAGGAGAAGGGTACCTCTTTAACTTGTATAGACTACCGACCAGGACATCTAAACACGGGGAAATAAATCTTCAAATATGAAATATCAGTCTGGAAATTGAAACGGACGACTGCATCTTCAAATATCAACTCCCTATCAAAACTTCCAAACATGACAAGAATGTATCTTTCAAAAACAAACGTTCAGCCAGTAAATCAAGACAGGAGAAGGATCTGTATATAATGCTGCAAAATGTTAAAGCAGGAGACGTAAAATCTCCAAATAGAAAATGTTAATCATAACATCCAAACAGGAGATGTATACCTCCAATATAAACCGACAACCAGAGTCATCCAAACAGGAGATGTATCCCTCCAATATAAACCGACAACCAGAGACATCCAAACAGGAGATGTATACCTCCAATATAAACCGACAACCAAAGACATCCAAACAGGAGATGTATACCTCCAATATGACCTGACATCCAAACATGAGATGTATACCTCCAATATAAACTGAAAAACCAGAGTCATCCAAACAGGAGATGTATACCTCCAATATAAACCGGCAACCAGAGAGAGATGTTTACCTCCAATATAATCCGACAACCAGAGACATCCAACCAGGAGATGTATACCTCCAATATAACCCGACAACCAGAGACATCCAAACACGAGATATATACCTCCAATATAAACCGGCAACCAGAGAGAGATGTTTACCTCCAATATAATCCGACAACCAGAGACATCCAAACACGAGATATATACCTCCAATATAAACCGGCAACCAGAGAGAGATGTTTACCTCCAATATAATCCGACAACCAGAGACATCCCATGACAACCATTGACATCCAAACAGGAGATGGATACCTCCAATATAAACCGACAACCAGAGACATCCAAACAGGAGATGTATACCTCCAATATAAACCGGCAACCAGAGACATCCAAACAGGAGATTTATACCTCCAATATAAACCGACAATCAGAGACATCCAAACAGGAGATGTATACCACAAATATGAACCGACAACAGAGAAATCCAAACAAGAGATGTTTACCTCCAATATGACATGACAATCAGAGACATCCAAACAAGAGATGTATACCTCAAATATGACCTGACAACCAGAGACATCCAAACAGGAGATGTATACCTCCAATATGACATGACAATCAGAGACATCCAAACAAGAGATGTATACCTCAAATATGACCTGACAACCAGAGACATCCAAA